GGAGGGACCAACTTGACCACTCTCTAATGCAACAAAAAAAAATAGATAAAACAACCGAAAAACCATTTATTATGCAACATCAAGACACGAGAAAGACAATCATCTAGAGGGCACAGAGCATTTAAATTAATCGAATAGGTGAAGTATCGTTATTTCCGGTATGTAGTCTTTGGCGGGTAGATCACGGTGGCCGAGCCGAACGAGAAGCCGACGGGTTTTGGTGACGGGCGGAGAGCTCGAGCAGTCGATCCGTGCGCTTCATCAGACGACCGACGCGACGATACTGAAAAAGGTGGCTCTCTCTCACTCTCTCGCACCTTCTCTATCGCTCTCTCTGTCCCTCTCTCGATCTTTCGGTCTTTTTTTTCTCTCTCGCTCTCCCTCTCTCTCTCTCGCTCTCTCATACCCGATCCACAGCCTTCACCAGCGTCGTCCCCAAAATCATCGCCGACAGCGCGATCAGCACCACGTGCGGGATGGCCATCAAGAGGAGACTGAAACCACAAGCATAAAGTTGGTGAAATAATGAAACGTTTTCTCGGAAGTTTGAACCTTTAACTTATCAAATTAAACGTCGAAAACTAACACCTAATTTGCACAAATATTTAAAATTTACTCGGATTCATCCAGCGATCCCATCGAGTCAGCGGGGCGGCGAGTTGGAGCTGGAGCCGCAGGGTACCACCAAATTTGGGCGAGAAAATGTCAAATTTTTCCAGTATTTCGAAAATTATGTAAATTTTCTGATGGTAATTTGCAATTTTAAGTTTTGCGCATTGTCTCTCCATCCCTCGCCCTCGCTCTCTTTATTTCGTTAGCTCTTCTCCTGCCTTCCCCCTATATCTCGTTTTCGCGCCCTCTCCCTCTCTCTCTCTCTCTCTCTCGCCTCTCGCTCTTGTTTTGCTCGATTTTCGCAAATTTATTACAACTCAAAACATGTGACAACTGCCACGTGGAGCTGAAGAAATCCTGAGGCTGACAATTGATACGGGTTCGACAGATATCCGTCGATTGGGCTTCGGTGCACTGACGATGAGACGGCCCAGATTCCGTCGAACCTCCACCCAACGATCTTTCAGTCCTGTTCGCATACTGCTCGAGCAGAGGTACAGCATCTTAAAGTGACTTTGACTACAGTCAAAGCGAGCGAGAAGCTGAGAGAGAGAGAGAGAGAGAGAGAGAGAGCGAGAGAGAGCGAGAGAGAGCGATAGCGAGACCGGGGCGACTGACAGAGGTGCGCACTTACCGGAGCTGCAGAACTGCAGGGCGGTCGTGCAAAGTAGCTGAGGTTAGCGTTAAAAATTAACGAGCCGACACTGAAATAAAAAATATTAGAAACGCAAGCCACCAAATTAAAAGGAACTGTTGCTGCTTGGCCATTAGTAATTTGATGGTAACCTACTCGATCTTCTGCCCCAACCAAAAACTGGCATAGGTAAAAATCATTTGCGTGACGAACACCGAGATCGAAGTGAAAAAGATGAAGCGCTGTCGACGGGCGAGTTGTTCTGACATCTGAAAAAAAATCGGGATATAAATCTGTATATTAGGTGCTGGGCGTATTACTGAATTGCTGCTGTTTCGATCAGCCGCTTTGCGCTTACCCAGACAATCTTCAGCGCACATGCAAAATATAAAAGAGCCGCCGCTATGATTGCGAATGCGAGCAGGCCAATTCTGAACGTCTAAAACACGATTTGGACATTTTTTTTATTGCTTTTCACTAAGCGATATACGTGAGCTTGAAAATAAATCCCCATCAATATTGATTACCCTGATCGCTAACCTGAAAAGGCCATAGATATTCTTCCTGGTATCCACTGACTGGTGTAAACCAGATCCGACTGATATGCTGCGTGACATGCAGAAAAAAGGTTGTAATTCCAATTGTGATCGCAATAATGGCACCGACGATCGGGATCCAGTGATTTGTCTAAAAATCTACTTGAAAACTAGGCAAAGTCTAGGAAGGAGAGAGAGAGAGAGAGAGAGAGAGAGAGAGAGAGAGAGCGGGAGAGAGACGGAGAGAGAGAAAGAGAGAGCGGGAGAGAGAGACAGAGAGAGAGCGGTGAGAGAGAGACAGACGGGATGAGAAAGAGAGAGCGGGAGAGAGAGAGAGAGAGAGAGAGAGAGAGAGAGAGAGAGAGAGAGAGAGCGGGAGAGAGGAAGAGAGAGATCAGAGGCAAAAATGCGTACCTCTTCGCGGATATAAGTCGCTTCATGGTACCGTAGATACGCCATCAGCAAGTTAGTGCATACCAGCATATCCTGTAAACCTCCTCCAGCCCCTTGCCAGATCAAATTCAGATCAACCCGAAAATCCAGGGCACACCCCGTAATGACAGGTTCTAGAATCGACACTTTCAAGCGACATAAAACTTTGTAAAACGTGATTTAATGAATCCGGGGAGATCTGGTATTTACAGAAAATCTCACCTCGTGCCGACATCACCAAAGTACAAGCATCAGAGATATACAACAAGCCTATACAAATCCGATAGTTAAATCTTAGCCTTTTCATGGTTAGGATAAATATTAACAGTGCTGTATAAGCGATTAACGCCAAAAAATTATACCCGCAAATGACTGTAGATGAGGTCATGCTCGTGAAGGGCGGGTCGCATTGGGGATGGAGCCAGGAGGTGCACTAAAAATCAATCAATTCTGGCTCGCCGGTCTTTTTAAAGACCTACCATGACTCCAAGCATTTCGAAAACAGCGTTCATACTGGGTGGGCAATCTTCAAAATTCATACAGGCCGGAGGAAGGTATACGTTGTAAGATACGGTAGTGTTCATCTGCTTATAATTTGCAGAAAACGCAGAAGCCTTAAGAGAACCAAGAAAAAAGCCGCTAGAATTTCGTCTATTATTGCGGCACGTGGCTCGGACTTATGAAGTTAAGGTAGGTCGACCGAAAATGTGGAGATTGAGAAAGGGAGAGCGAAAGAGAGACAGAGAGAGCGAGCGAGCGAGCGAGAGAGAGAGAGTGAGTTGGAGAGAGAGCGCGAGAGAGAGAAAGAGCGAGAGAGAGCGAGAGAGAGTGAGAAGCGAGAGTGAGAATTGCCAAGTCACGTCGAGCCAAGGTGTTGTTTGGCCCTCGCACCTAAACCATTCGAGAATCGGCACGCGAGACGGAATTGGTTTTCCGGAGAACATTCTGAACCTGTCGGCCCCGTGCCAAATGGGTATTTTCGGCTGTGTTACTTTGTTGTTGGCCGAGTAAAAGCAGGTGAGCCAAACGTAACTAGTAGTGATGCCGAAAACGCGAAAAAATTCTTTTTTGTTCGCTCTCTTCACAGTCTCTCTTTGTTCTCTCTCTCTCGCTCGCTCGCTCTCTCTCTCTCTCGCTCTCTTTCTCTCTCTCTGTTTTACCATGCAAGTAAAAATTAACTTTATTAAAAACACACCACAACCCGGGGGAAGTTACAAGGCTAGTACGAGTACATCTGAAAAAAGAGTGACGAATGGTCTAGAAGAGGTGGAAAACACTACGCTACGCTACACTACCAACGACTACACACGCGAAAACAGGATTTCCAAAACAGTGCCGAAACCGGGAGGGCTGTAAGGACGAAATTGTGGAACCCAAGACAGCAACTGGGGGGCTGTAAGGGGAGGGAAGGGGAGAGGGCGAGAGCGCACGGAAGAAGGGTAGCGCACAGAGATGACGAGGGAAAAATTGGGGGTACGGTAGGGTGGGAGAGGGTACGGTAGGTCTTCGCGTTGGGCCGCCGGGTCCTCAGGCTTCAGACTCGTTGTTGCGCGCCTCGTCGAGGGCGGCCAGGACCACCTGCAGGTACACCTGAAAAAATTATAAAAAAGCTTTTCTCCACATTTTCTCTCTATCTCTCTCTCTCTCTCTCTCTCTCTCGCTCTCACCTTCTCATTCGACGTCAACCCTTCAGCAGGGATCTTCTCAAGCAGCTTGTCGGCCTGCGTGTTCTGCACCAGGGCCAGCAGCTCACCGTGCTGGTCCTCCATCGCGTACAGGCTCACCACCTCGATCAGCCTGAAATCAGGAGCTGATCTGCTCGAGAAGCTTCAAAAAAGCGGGCTTGGACTGCTCGAACACGTCCAAAACGCGCCCCCGTTACCAAAACCAATGACCCCCTACTTCTCGCGCAGCGGCTGCGGCGAGTTCGGGATCGCGTCCACAATTCCGCCGACGAGCATCGACAGCTCGGCGAGCAGCTTCGGCCGCTTAGCCTTCAGCCACATCAACGGCGACTCGGCCAGGCAGGACTAATGGAGATGTACAGTGAAAGCCAGAGAAAAAGACAGGGGGTGAGAGAGAGCGAGCGAGAGAGAGAGAGAAAGAGAGAGAGAGAGAGAGAGAGAGAAAGAGAGAGAGATGCTATCCCGTACCACGACGTCTTCAGCGTGGATGTGCAGCCATCCGGAGTAGATGAGCCCCGAGGCGAGACGAACAGAAGTCTGGCGCACAGCCGCGTCTTCAGCCTGCATACCGGCCTGCAGGCAACCGAGGAACCTGGAAGAATGACGTCGTTTCGAGCGTAGCGTAGCGGAGTCTAGCATAGTCCTGCGTATCGTAATGACTTTTCGTAGCGTAAATTAGTGCCTGGCGCAGCGTAGTGTCGTGTAACGTAGCGTCATCTAACGTAGTGTCATCTAACGTAGTGTCGCCTAGCGTGCGTAGCATACGGTTGCTTAGCGTAACCTAGCGCAGCGTATCGTAATTTAGCCATTCGTAGCTTAACGTAGCGTGTGTAGCGATCGCCTAGCGTAGTCTTACGTAGCATAACGTAGTGTAGCGTTGAGTAGCGCAGCGCACATAGCGCGCCGTAGCCAACGTTGCGTGGTGTAGCGCAACGTAGTGCAGCATAACCCGTACCTCTGGTTGGTGAACGTAAAGTGTGCCGGGACGGGGAAGACAAAGTACTGCAGCAGCGTCAAGGCCTCTGCGCGCAGACGATCAGGGACGCCGCGCCACGGGTACGGCCCAGAGCCGCTCAGCTCAAACTGCGAGATCTGGAATTTCAGGGCGTAATCGGAGGAGTTCAATGTTCTCACGGCCAGCGTGAAGATCTCGCGGCGGGCCGCATCGATCGTCGGCCGCTCGCCGTCCTCTTCCGGGTCGCCGCACGCCGGCAACGAGTGCAGGATCACGCAGAAGTACTTGATCAGGCACTCTAAAATCAGGAAATCGCGGATTTTTTAAATCAAAAATTTCGGTAAGTCTATTCTCAAAACACCAACAATACCGTAACAGCCTACCCCTGACTTCCTGGTCCTGCTTCAGGGCGGTCAACGACTTGGGCAGCGGGCGGGACAGCTGGAGCAGGTGGCCGCCCAGGAACTCGTTCACGTCGCGCATGCGCAGCAGATCGTGGCGCTAAAAATTAATTACAGTTACAATTACAGCTTTCTGAAACATGTTCAAGCCGTCCGGAACCCAGTTACGCTTACAAATCCCAAAAAGCAAAAACTAAGCCCAATGCGGGGCTCGAACCCGCGACAACCAGATTAAGAGTCTGGTGCCCTACCGACTGAGCTAACCGGGCAGTGAGGGGATCGACCGCAAAGGGGGGTAAGAGGGGGTGTGGAATATAGAGGGCTGGGTGCCCCCTGGCTACGAGATTACGACTTCCCCCTCCGCTATTTTACATTATCAGGGGAGGGGGGCTAATTTTGTTCCTAGAAGTCCAAAAATGCGTCGTAACATAATAAAATCGTTTTAATTGCGAAAAGCCTTCTCAATAAAAATTAAAAAATTCGAAAGCGAAAAATTTCGAAAAATCGATATTATTGTTTTTTTCTCAATTTAAGATGGAAATTAAATGCTTAGGAAATAAAAATACAATTCAGAAACAATTGCTTTATTTTATCGGAAAAATTCAATCTCAAGAAAAAAATTTGCTTAGGCTTAGGTAGTAAAGATAGTAAAGAAGTACCTTTTGGCAGCCTGGATTTAATGATGCTGCTGACTCGCCACACTCCCCCCCCCCCGCTAACACACCAGAACCAAACCAGTACCTGAATGCCCATGGGGTGTTCGCGGTTGGTGATCTGCTCGAGGAGGAGGCCCAGGAAGTTGGCGAGGTGGCAAATGTCTTCAGGGGAAAGCTCCTTCAGACGTCGGCACAACGCCACCATCAGCTTGAAGAACGATTGGCGCTTCAGCTCGACGCCCTGGTCGAGGACGACCGGTAGGTGGGAGAGGAGGCGGCGCAGGGTTTTGCTGAAAATTTGGTCATCTACCGAGTGTTCTAAACGGGAGAGCGAGAGAGAGCGCGAGAGAGAGAGAACCCAAACCCACGCGCAGGTGGTGAACGGCTCGGCGTCGTCCATGGCGAGCATGCCGCGCACGATGTGGGCGAACGGCTCCTCATACAACGGCAACATCCCCACGGCAAACTCGAACAACTACACCAACTAGTTTAACCAGTACATGCCTCCCACCTCCATACGGTGCAGCGCGTTGTTGTTGGCGATCTCGAACTGGAGGCCGACGAGGTGGCCGAACATGTGGATCGCGTCCGGCGGGAGGAGCATCTCCTTCTCGGCGTGCACCGTCTGGCACAGCCTCAGGAAGCAGGGCAGCACGTCGCCGCGCTTCTTCTTCCGCGCCTCGCCCAGCAGGGTCAGGGCCTGAAAAAAATACGGATTTGGAAGCGAGAGAGCGAGAGAGCGAGAGAGAAAGAGAGAGCCAAAACCCACCACCCTGACGATGCCCTCCTCGCCCTCGGCCTTGAGAATCTTGATGAAGTCCTGCTTCGTGTAGTCAGTGCGAACCTTCTAAAACCAAAATTTACATATCGGCGAAATCTGCATCTAAAACACCCGTCAATAGTAATGCAACGTACCTTCTTGTAGACCATCGTCGAGTAGGTCGAGTAATTGGGGGTGGTATGAGGGAAAAGAGATAAACGCCGTTTTTAAGGCAGAAATTTATGTAAATCAGTGTCATCCGGCACTTCCGGTTGTGTAAATTGCGTTTTTCGTGGTACCACTCGCTTTGCATGTCGGGATTATCGTTGTCGGTATTCTTGTTGTCGAAATTTTTCGCATGTATATTTTGGTTATAGGATTTTGGCTTGTCGGTATTTTCGCTCTGGAGTTCTCAGTGTCAGGATTAAGGTTGTCGGGATTTCGCTATCGGGATCTCGGCTTTCAGGATTTTGGCCGTCGGGATTTCGGCGGTTGGTCTTCTAGCTTTGCGGGATTTTCGACACCTACATTTTGGGTGTCGGCATTTTTGCCCCCGGGAATTTGGCCTACCGGGGCTTTGGCTGTCAAGATTTTGATTGTCGGTTATTTTGGCTGTCCGATTATGGCTGTCGGTAACCAGGTATTTTCCGGCCCCTATTTTAGTCCCAACCCAACAAGTTCCCAAGCCAATTCCGGCCTAAATGAATCGCCTCGCAAAGCTCAAAAACAAAAAAAGCTCGCCGAACCAAGTCAACAACCTATTTGCCGACCCGCTGATCCACTAAAAACCTCATTTTTCCACCCAATTCCAGCGTGAATTGGCCGCAGGAAAATAGCATTCTGCGCGGGTGCGGAGGCGTCTAGTGTACTTGCAAGTTGGCACGGGATTTGGAGCGTCTCGTACTTGCTGAACTCGATGGACAAAATGTTTTCGGGGTCAGGGCTATTAGGTCGGCCGATAATCAGTTTTGGGTCATTAGGTCGTTTTATCAAAACACATGGGCTACGGTAGAAGTTCTTAGCTTGTCCTCTCACTCTCTCTCTCTCTCTCTCTCTCTCTCTCTCTCTCTCTCTCTCTCTCTCTCTCTCCTTCTCTCTCGCTCTCTCCTCCTCTCTCGCTCTCTCGCTCTCTCTCTCTTCCTCTCTCTCTCTCTCTCTCTCTCTCTCTCTCTCTTTTTCTCGTCGCTCTCTGTCACTTTCCCTCTCTCGCTGTTCTGTTTCTTCCAATCTCGTGCTCATTTTTCGCAACAGTTTTATTAAATACTCGCTCTCCCAACGGTATGGCTTAAAGTTATAGTCGGGGCAGTAGATCTTCGTCTTCTCGGGAGTGACATCAAGTTCTGGAGGTTCATCTTCACCTCCACCAGCTGATCCTTGAAACTCGAGCGCAAGCTGCTCGAGCAGAGGTACAGCATCTGAAATAGAAATCGAAATAGTATCTGGGCGAGAGAGAGAGAGAGAGAGAGAGAGAGAGAGAGAGAGAGAAAGCTAGCTTTAGCTTACCGGAGCCACCGAGCAACAAATTGGCTTTGCGAAAAAACTCAAGTTGGCGTTGAACCAATCGTCCCCAATCCTGAAAAACTCAAATAGTTCTTGAAAATCAGATTTGGATACCCAATCTTGCTGCCAAGCCAAAAGCTCGCATAGCTGAAGATGACTTGGGTTACAAAGACGGCAAAAGACGTAAAGAGGATGTATCGTTGACGCTTGGTGCAGAGAGAAGACATCTAAAAATTGGAGAACTACAAAAGTTCGTTTAAAAAGATTATTTTTAAAAAATTAATTTGAAATTGGCCTGATCAGGTCTAGTTTCTTACCTGTGCCACCTTGATCGCACAAGCCAGGTATAGAAGAGCTGTAGTAAGAATGCAGGAGCCGAGGAAGATGAAGCGAACGTGCTGAAAAGAGCGTTGAAATTTCTGTCTATATCTCTCGTTCTCTCTCTCTCCCTCTCTCCCCTTCCCTCTCTCTCTCTCTCTCGCTCGCTCTCTCTTTCTCTCTTTATCGTACCTGCAGAGGCCATAAATTAGCATCATGATAAATCGGATCGTACCAGACGGTGCTCAACTTTTTGGTAATATGGAGGATAAAAGTAGTGATTCCAATCAGCACCGTGATGATGGCACCGACGCTCGGGATCCAGGGGGTGGTCTAAAATAGCAGGTTTCAAAAATTTGCCATGCTTAGGCTTTTCGAAGTATTATTAAAGCAGCCATTTTACGCCTTTAAACTACATCCATACCTCTTGATGCAAATGTCGAATCTCATACAGCCGTAAGTAGGCCATGAGAACATTGGTGCTGACGAGCATATCTTGAAGCGCTCCACCAGCCCCTTGGTAGATCAGATTCAAATCGACTCGATAGTCGATAGCACATCCAATGATTGGCTCTAAATGTAACTATTAAACGACTCTAACGCCAAAATTTTATCAGTAAGCCGTTACATATTACGCTTTTCACAGGTAACTCTAGCCATTTTGGAACGATATTCAGCTTACCCCTAGCCGTCATTATCAGCGTGCAGGAATCCGATAGGTAAAGTAACCCGACACATATGCGAAAGTTAAAGTTCAGCCGTTTCATCGTGACCATAAGAATTAGTAGAGTCGTATAGACAATCAGTACAATCGCATTATAACAGAAAATAACATCCGAAGCGGCCGTTGGCGTGAAGATTGACTCGCACTGTGGGGTCAGCCAGGAGGTAGCCTGGAAAATCATAATACTTCGATTTTGGCAACCATTTAACGTTATCCGGAATCCTAAAGGGTCCCCGCTAGCTGGCACTAAAATCCATATGTTCAAAAGATCGTGGATAGAGAACCCTAGCTTCCTGAAAGATCTCCGCCAGCTCGCCCGGCCCTCACTTCCCCCCAGGGATCCCTGCTAGCTTACCTCGAATTTCAATGCTCTAACGATCGCAGCTAGATTGCCCAGATTCCTCAAAAGGTCGCTGCTAGCCTGCCTTGGGCTGGCATACTCAAGGATCTCCGCTGGTTTCCGCCTAGTTTCTGCGCTCTATAGTAGTGCCGGGTAGCAAGCCCTAGGTTCCCGAAGGATCTCTGCTAGCTCGCCTTGTCTGGCCTCCTCAAAAAACTTTGCTAGCCGGCCTGGGCTAACAAATTCTAATGTCAAGTTTTAGCTTCATCGTAATCTCCGAAAACCCACCATAACCTGCAGGAACTCTCCAAGTGTATTCCAATCCGGTGGACAATCTTCGAATTGGAAGCAGGCAGGCGGGTAGTGGACGACCAACGGTTTCAAGGTGGTAAATTCAGGCATTTCTGTAATTAAATTAGTTAAGAGGACAAAAAAAAGGAGAAGCCATCAATAATAACTTTCTACTTGACTCCTAAAAAATCATAAAGAAAAGTAGAGGAAGAACACTGCCCCTGCCGCCAAAACAATGTTCCCATTTTCCAAGATTTTCCCCGACCCCGATTCTGTTTTGATCTAATCGCATAGCGCGCGGGTGGTTGTAACGGCATTACCATTAATGTGAGCACGAGAATGGAACGGCCGGGTCGGACCGTAAAACAATAAAAACAGCAATTAGCGCCCGGGTTTGCGGGTCCTGGAACATTGCCAAGATGCTCCAGGCGGCCAAAGACCATCAATTCCGTTGCGCACCCAATTCCGAATGTTTTTAGATGTTTAGAATGCTATTTTCGAGTCTCAATACGCACAATTCGTACCATCTGTAACAACAGCAAATCAGAAAACGCTCAAAGGTCGTAAAAGCTGACGCTGGACCTTGCCACAGCCGTTCTGGAGGTGAGCCAGAACCCATTCCGTTGCGCGCCAAATTCCACATGTTTTTACGTGTTTAGTCCGCTATTTTTGGGGTCCCACCACGTACAAATTCGACGTAAGAACAATGCGTTTTCGCGTCAAGTCTGCCTAGATGTTGTTGAGCTACTTTTTTTGGGATCGGAATTGGACCGTGAGAATGAACATTCGTGTACCTAGTCGTATGGGAATCCGAGGCAGGCCAAATAAAAATAATTCAACAACCTAGAGTGCCGCTTTGCCTTGATTTTCAGGTAAAAGTTTTAAGATTTTTTAGGTTTAGCAATTTAGGTGAGAATTTACAATCTGTCCGCCATTTCCTATCCCGTAGTCTACCGTACTCCCCTAACCTTTTTTAAATTTACCTCAAACCCCCGATTTCGTACGCTACACGGCTCTCGAATTTTACAGATTTATGACTGTTATGGTTCCGATACCATTACCTTGATGCGTACTTAAATTTCAGTTATCTTTATTACTTTTTCTTCACTTCCTCCTCATATACTAACCCTGCCCGTCTGACTGGTCATCGAGAGAGATTGGCGCTTGTTTGCAGTAGAAGACGTCTTGCTGACAATGCTCTGGATATTCGTCCTCACTTCCCTCAACTGCACTTTTAGCTTGGCGCGTAGACTGTTCGAGCACAGGTACAGCATCTGCACCAGGAAATATTTACCGTAAAACAATCCCTAATTAGGACTGAAAATTAGATCAAGACGAAGTTGAGAGAGGGCGAGAAAAGCAGAGAGTGATAGAGAGAGAGAGAGAGAGAGCGAGAGAGAGAGAGAGGCACCTACCGGAGCTATCGAGCAGCAAATTGGCTTGGCAAAGTGGCTGAGGTAGGCGTTGAAGTAATCGTCACCTAGGCTGAAAATGTAAAGTGTAATTTTCTTCCAGTTCCGCTTACTTAATCTTGCTTCCCAGCCAAAAACTGGCATAAAGGAATATGACTTGAGTGACGAATACGGTAAAAGATGTAAAAAGGATCAGGCGATGTCCTCGGGTGGATGAGGTTGACATCTGAAAAAACTATCTCTCTTTCTCTCTGCGCTCTCTTACTCTCGCTCGCTCTCTCTCTTTCTCTCTCGCTCGCTCTCTCCCTTTCTTTCTCTCTCGCTCTCTCTCCCTCTCTTTCTCTCTCGTCAAACCCACCCTAGCCACTTTTATAGCGCATCCCAAGTACAGTAGCGCAGTCACGAGGACGGCCAGGCCAAGAAATAGGAACCGGACGTACTAAAAAGCGATAAATACTTAACAATGCATGGAATTACCAAGTATCTAAACCGGAAAAGCTGAATTTTTGATCCAAAATACCTGCATGGGCCAAATATTGGCGTCTCCATAAGCCGGGTGGAACCATACGTCGGCCAACAGGTGTG